GTTGTTTTGGTACTTGTCACAAAGTTTATCCCAGAGCCCAGAAGCAGTTGTTTGATCCACAACCTCCCTCACTACTTCATCTATCAAGCTCAATAGAATGGCAATATGTGCCTTCGACAGAATATCCACCTTCTTATCAGTCGCCATGTCCTTTGGCAGTTTTGCCTCTCCTTCCAGTGCCGCCGCACATCCTTGTTGAACCAGAAGAGCCCTCATCTTCACCTTCCACAAAGTGAAGTCATTTGAGCCATTAAACTTCTCCAAATCAAACTTGTGAGTAGACATATTCAATCACAGGAATACAAACCGCAACTCTGATACCACTTGTTAGGAAGTAAAGCGAATAACTAGCAAAACCAAAAGCACACAAGACATAGTATTTATGTGGTTCGGTCAAGGTGACCTACGTCCACGGGGAGGAGGGGAGTATTCTTTATTTCAGAGCTCTCAATACAGAGGTTACAAGTACAATTACATAGAGATTTGCCTATCACTCTAGAATTCAAGATACAAAATGACCCAGCATGCATCCCTATTTATACTTGAGGGATCAGAGCTAACACCCTAATAGGCCAAGCCCATTGGCCCATAAGCCCATGAAGGGTGTCAACCAATCACAATCCGCCATGCAGCATATTCTGGAACATTCTTGAGCATTATCATCTTCTAGGCATACTTTGATCAACAAGGCACATCAATGGAATCAATATGGCTCATCATGTACAAAGATGGTCCATGATGGCACAATAGCTTCTTCATGGCGCAACAACAACCCTAGTTGGCGCAACAGGGATCTAAATAGCATTAGAGCATCAAGTATGGTGCACAACATCAATCTTGGAGCAACAACATCACCATGAGCAACATGCACATGCATGGCTCAATAAGGCCATGCATGGCTCAACAGGAAAACAAGATGGCGCAAGAGGAGAACAAGCTGGCGCAAGAGCATCCCTCTTGACCCATCTCTTTATCATGTGGCGTTACAAGGACCCCTTGTTGCTCCATATCCCTTCCAAGTGCTCCAAACCTCTTCCAAGTGCTCCAAACTCCTTCTAGGTGCTCCAAACCCCCTTGAACACGATCCGTTCCTTTGGCACTTTATCAGTTCCTTTGTCTGATGATCCATTCCTCTCTCAGAAGATCTGTTCCTTTGTCACATGCTCCATGAACACCAACTGCTCCATTGAGGTCCAAGTGCTCCAAATGCTTCATGAACATGATCCAAATGCTCTAAATGCTCGAGTCATATTTAACACTAATTAAATGAATTGTTAGATACATGAAAATGAGTTAATATCTTAATGAATTAAGACATAAATACGTTATTCATGCAATAAAGAAATCATGTCATCAAGAAATATCGGTATGAAAATATGGAATGGAATTAAGCTATTTTTTTAATAAGAAGTATTTTTATGAGCTTATTATGTTGGTTGAGTAATAATTAAAGAAGTATTGATCAAGAAGCACCAAGTGAAGGAATAGAATGGTAGTTAGTGTTCACTAAATAACAAGGCGGGTACATGGGGATTTCCATATTGAGGTATACAACAAATTATTAATTGATTTAGAAAATTGATTTTTAGCTGTGGACTTTTTATATATAGAAGTTGGACATAATTCTATCATGTATATATTTATAATGGACTTTTGACGGGAAATCTCTGATAAAGTCCAAAAATTTTGGGTCAGTTTATGGTTTAATCCAAACTTTTATTTTTTGAACAGAAAAGTCCCGATTATTTTATATTTTGTCCAAACTAATGAAACAATCCTTATTTTTTTCAACAGAAAATGACAGATTATCATATAAAATTAGATAATTGGGATTTTTCTGTCCAAAAAATAAATGTTGGGATCAAACTATAAACTAATCCAAAAGATTGAGACTATATCGAGATTTTCTGATATTTAACATATAGAAGTTGGGCATTGTTCTATCATGTATATATTTACTGCTTATTATGATTATGATTTTGTTCTATATCAGCTGTAATGCCCATATTCATATTTTTTGAAACAAACTTAACCACATTTATCTTATAACGTCTTAAAAAAACCATTAATTCATTATTTTTATCCAATATTTGTCTACAATTTAGTTAATGCATAGGATCCCCAAAGGACAGTGTATATATTATATAGAATTTTATAACATAGTTAACTAATAATTGGGTTCTTAGAATCTTATATTAATATGACATGTGATTTCGAATTTAATTCTCGTCAAGTGTTACTAGTTTTATCCAAATGTAATGATCATTTAGTGGAAAACTTGAAATTTGTTTGGTCCTCTAGAAAGACCCTAAAACGAGCACATTTCCTATGTAGCCATTTTTTGAAAATCCGTTCGAATGACTAAACTGGAATTGAGGAATATAGCTGTTCAACTAACACTAAATTAGTTTAATATCCGTCCGGTGGACGGTTGACCTGTTTAATAAAAATAATTATTATTTTACTAATATTTTACTTTGTTCTATATCATCATTGTATAATTTGTAACCATGCACTATACAATGACAAATCTACCAAATAAATAACATGGTTGAAAGATGTGGAAGATAAGTGGTATGGTCGTAGGAAGTTGTCAGTATATGGTAGTATATGAATAATAGTTGTTATTTTGGATTGAATTCAGCTCTAAAAAGTTTTCTTGCAAACCTTTTGTTTCTTTTGGTTAAAGAAAATCATTTTGTGTAGATTTGGGACGCTATCAAATTTTGGCTTGTTACATATGGACTTTTAACTAGTGTTTAATTAGTCTAGATAAACTGAAGGAAGCAATGTAATATCTTTTGTATTGAAATGATATAGAAGTTAAAAATGGGAAGTTATGCGTTTATGGTAGTATATGAATGTGTGTTGTTATTTTGTTCATTAACATCTTTTTTTTAAATAATATTTGTTTCAAATCAAACTAAGTTCATAGTATTGTATAAAAATAAGTTTTTATTTGTCTTTTGTAAACATAATCTATAGTTTAGTCACATACATAGACCTTTATAGTCCAAAAACAACTTTCATGAGTTAGTGCTTAAGCTATTATGCACTTTAATGGGTTCAAAAGTTGAATGAAAGTGTGTGGATCAGACATCATACAACAACAACATGAAAAAAAAGAATATCAATGGATTAACAAATAATTAAATGATTTTAACTAAAAAAAACAAAAGAGTGGAATCTATTGTTTAAGTACTATATTATATGTTATTTCATTAGAAATAATATAGATTTGTAATATAAAAAAAATTAAAAGTTGAATTAGCTTAAAAAATAGAAACTTCATGCTTTTTATTATAAGCGCCTGGGTAGACATTGTAACTGCTCTCTTTATTCTCAACTTCTTGTCCTTTGCACCAGGAAGAAAATCAGCAAACACTCTCAAGAAACACAAACAAAAATATATAAAAAAAGGTTGTCAACACTCTTCTAACCAATCAATAATATAAAATCTAATTAGTGGATTTGTCCCATGTGCTTGTTATTCTTTCATTACAAATAATCATATAACTTTGTATAACCATATTCAAGCCATCAAATGTATACCTTGATATGTTACATTTCACATACTTTAGCATAGCACATCACTTAAGCAGGGATTAGAGAGTTTTTATTTACGATTAAGGTCAATACTTTCTCAGGTTTGGCCAACGATTTGCCAATAATTAAGTTATATATAAAAGTAAAGTTTGATTGGAAAAGTTGGGTAATATACCTCAAGCATATTGTGTGGTAATTCATGATGTACATTTGGATGACTAATTGTGCACAAATGAGTATGTGAAGAATCTATTCTTAATCAAATCCATCTAAACATCATAGTAACTCAATAAATTGCACAAATATAATATAAGAGTTATTTACATTAAATAGAATCAAGTGAATACCATATACGATATGTAAAAAGTGTTCATACGTATTATACCCATGACATATGCTCCTCATGTTCATCATGTGAAAAGGCAACTGAAGATCAGCAAAAAGGAATGAAATGTATTTTCAATCAAGCACTATACCTTCAACAGAGTCGATATACATAACCCCATATCCAGCATGGTTGTTGCTGTTTATCATTAAAAAAAATCCTAGGAGTGTCAAAACCATCATGAACAAAAATCTTAAAACCTATATAAACAATTCAATTTAGATCAGGTACATACTTTTAAAAACATCATGTGATGAAATAGCAACATACTTTCAGTTATTTGTTTGACCCAAAAAACAATTCAATATGAAAAGTAATAAAGTCTTACCGTTTTTCATCAGATTAATTATTAGATATACTTTTTCAAAACATTGATGCTTGTGAAACTCCTTCAACTTCAGTCAAACCAGTAAGTATTTCATATATCTTCAAGTGATTAAGGACATGACAACATATTTTAAACTAAACATAATATGTTCTTTGTGAATTAGAAGGTTAAAAAAAATAAAGAAAATGAAAAAAGAACTAAAAACAACTACCTCACTTTCAGTAAGTCTTGAAGTATTGTTGCCACCCTGTCTCATTAACATATTTGTCTTGTTTATGACTTGTTCTTACACATTGGGTTCCTATCTTTATAAAATAGTTAAGCATGAAAAAATATAATACCAAACACGGATTTATCTTCACCAAAATGTGCATGGATTATGGAATTGACACAAAAAATAAAAACAGAATCAGGAAAGTTGACAAAACATTCATGATGGTTAATGAACTCAAAGAAAGCATGAAAAGTGAAAGCATTCACATGTAATAATCCATACTTTGACAATGTAAAGAAAATTGAAAATATGAACAAAAGCAACAAACATCAATAAAAATATGACAAATAATTTCATATTCCCCATAAGAACACAAAAAAACATTAAAAACAAATGTTATTATAATGCAAAAACTTGCTAACACCGATTAAGAACAACATAAAACTTAAAATTTAACAGAAAGTTCTAAACTCCTAACACCGATTAAGAACAACAAAAAATATAAAAGGGAACATAAAATGCTAAACTCAACCTTTAGAAAAACATATTAAAGGAAACTTATACAATAAATCATCATCAAAGTCCGACTCATCAATCACTTTAGTGGGACGATTTCGATTCTGAATGACAACTCTGAGTTTCTTTTTTGGTTGAATTATGGGCACATCCTCTCCCAAATAATCATCTGAACAAATCTCAATAACTCCATCCCAATTCCACTCTAAAAGAGCGAACTTCCGTTTTTTTCTTCTCGATTTTTGTATCTTCTTAGCAATTAAAGCAACCTGGAACAATAAAGGAAACATCATAAAGTAATAAGCATTGACCAAAAAGTCGAAATATTTTTACCTCCTTGGAAATAACCCTATCCAGATCAGATTTATAAGGACTGAAGTGATGGGAATAGTTAATTACCTCCACACTATCAGTTTCAGAATCAGATGGGAAATTTGGTACAGATGAATCAATGATGGCCTTTTCATCAACAACTACATATTTCTTCATTATGCAATCAATTACAATAAAACTCAAAAATTAGAGAGGTAGAAATTTGCGAACTTTAAATATAGTTAGGTTAAAACGATTTTACCTTGGGTGAAGAGATTTCAGACGCATTTACATCCATGATTAATCAATAATCGATGTTGATGATGAGATTATCTTCACATCGTTGATTTATATAAGCATAGAACCTGAATTGTAGCAGTCAGCATCCGAAATTTAGGTTTTGTAGGAGGAGGGATCATGGGTTGGCTGTCGTTGAAGAATTCTGACATCGATGGAGGTTGAAGAACGTGGGAAGGAGACGACAGTGTGAAGATGGGTGGTTCCTTTCGAGAAGAAGTAGGGGAAGTTATGGAAACTGTGAAGAAGATGAACGTGGAGGTGCCATGGATACATGAAGGAGGAGAAATGAAGAAACTGAACAAAAAAAAACCTGTAACTAGCGATTTAGAACGGTCGTGATCGAAAGTTGAAGCCATCGAATGGTACTAATTGATAAAGCGGTTATTCACTCACTAAGCTTAGTAATAATAATAAATTATGCATATTTTTAAATCGGAACAAACAGACCCTTTTTTATAAAAACTTGATTGAACTGGTTAAATTAAATAAAAACACATGAAAATAATACATTTTTCATATCAAATTTTGATGATCTTTTTCACACCTTTAGACTTATTGTGACATCCCCATTTTCACGGCCAGAGAAGACCGATTTGTTTATGTTTTATTTTGAAAATCAAAGTAACCTTTTAAAGAAAAGAGTTGCGGAATTTGTTCCCAGAAAAACATGATAAATACGTTATCAAAGCATCTCCGAAGAAATGTATTTTATTCATTTTAAAACATTGGGATGTCATCGTCAATACAGAAACATAAGCATAAACAGAACTTACATTCATTATCACTAGTGATTTATGTCTCCTTAATCTCTCAGTGTAATGTAACTTCATATCAACACCTGTGATACAAATAAACTAAGTGGGTCAGGTTGGGAAACCTGGTGAGTACATAGGGTTTTCAACCCACAATAATATAATTATTATGTTTAATCATCAAACAATTAACCCAATTACCCATCCCCATTATCTTCGTTATTCGTAAGGGTCTACCCTAAGAATCATCTATCCTACATTCGTTCATTCAGAAGTCCATCGCTTCCAGGGTTCATATGACAGGCACTAAGTCCATAGCTGCCAATGCTCGTTCGTAAAGCACTAAATCCATAGCTGCTAATCTTCATTTATCGGGCACTAAGTCCATAGCTACCAGCGTTTATCTAACAGGTACTAAGTCCATAGCTACCAGTGTTTCTCTAATAGTTACTAATTCCATAGCTACCAGTGTTTATCTAATAGGCACTATGTCCATAGCTGCCGATGTTTATCTAATAGGCACTAAGTCCATAGCTGTCGATGTTATTTATTAGGCACTAAGTCTATAGCTGCCAATGTTTACTCATACCATCTTTCATCTCTGATCGTTCATCTACCCATGTTTTACCCAACATATTCGTAGATATAAAATACATATACAGTTTAAATCATTTAAAACATGTATAAAATCATTCATCCAGCATAGAAAGCAAGTATTTAAAGAATATGCACACATAGCACGTAATATATATAAAATAGTTCATATCTATGTGTTAGATGAAAGTAACTATGGACTCACCTGTTACAATGACGACTCGAAATTTGAGCAGCCCTTCACTTCTTAACAACATGATTTCCTTCGACAAAACCTAGTATTATCACCACTAGATTTTAGTCTAATATTTATTGCGACTAATTATTAGTCTAGATTCGTCATTAACTCAGAGTCTACTTCATGATCTATCAAGTAAGGATCAGGCAGGCAGGACCGTTGGGAGGCAAGACCATTTCGGCATATAGCTTTTCTGAAATCCAACAACCAAACCCAACGTGACCATTTTAGACACCTCTCCCGTAAGTAGTTCAATCAGTATAACGACTTTGAATCACTGATAAAATTTATTTATAGGTTCACAATAACGATATTACAAGCTATTTTTAAAGTAGGGTAGCATAACTTACTTAGCTAGGAGCCGGACTCTGCAGGAGCAGAACTTCGTCGCTGAATCTTTCTAAGAAAGATTCTTCCAGCGCTTCAGCGCTCACCTTAGTATACTAAAAACTACAGAAAGAGAAATCGAATCACGAAGGACCGAAATGCTCGAGGGATAAGAAGGGAAAGACTCTTGAATCAAGAGAATGGTGCAAGAAATATGAGAGCTAGAGGCTCTTATTTATAGTGATTGAATTTTCAAAAACTACCATCCATACTTACTTAATGACCTTATAGTTATATAAATAACTAAACACCCCTTTATAATATTATTTTAAATAGATTTAATGATATTTGTCCAAAACTAAAGTCGAAAGTACTCAACACTAGTCTTATAACAATCGCGTCGTCGATACCTTTCTAACGGTATATATATATATATATATATATATATATATATATATATATATATATATATATATGATTTACACTTTATATTAATACGTAAATGTGCTATTAAAAATTATAACTCGTTCATACGAACTCCGTTTTTGACGTTCTTTATATCCACGCGTAGCTACCGACGAGATCTAAAACTTTCGTTTAGACTCCGTCGGCTAATTTTGAATTTATATTTTTGTCCATATTTTTATAAAATTAAATAATTTTGCTAAAATCATAACTCTCTCGTACGAACTCTGTTTTTGGCATTCTTTTTCTCAAAATTCCTATTTTAAGGAGTACTACGATTTTCATTTTGGTCGCATTAGCTAAAAGTAACCATTCTCTTCGTAGCTTTTTACGTCATACATTCGTTGTGCGCTGCTAACTTTGATATCTTATAAAAATCATATCTAATTCATACGGATTCGGATTTCGACGAAATTTATATTTTCGGGATCGGGACGACGTATAGTTCCTAAATATTATATATATATATATATATATATATATATATATATATATATATATATATATATATATATATGTTTTGGCGCACTTATTTTTACGATTTACGGACGATTCGACTGATTTTTCCTATTTTATTATATTATAATAATCATGAAACATATAATATTCAAATAATTATTCTTTATTACGTCGAATAGGTTACAATTGTGAACCCTAACTATTACTTTGGTTAAGATTATTTATCCTAGATAATCTTCTATATAAAAAAAATCATTTTTAACGCTTATTATCTTAGTTGACTAGCCCGAATCTGCGGGTGTTACAATTATCTCCCCCTTAGGATGATTACGTCCCGAAATCATCAACAAAACAGGGCTTGTATGATGATTATGTACGTTTCCTTTCCATCCTAGGTGGTAATCTTAACTCTTATGTCCTTTCAGATGAGTATCTAACTCTAGGACTCCTTGACTGCTGATGGTGTGCAATCTTGCACCCGCTCTTTATCCTATGTTGGACTTTCAATCTTAACCTTCGAGTTACAAACTCAGTCCTTATTGGAGACTCCCGCTCTTTCTTAAACAAACTTAAATTAAGATAAGTTTTTTTTACTTCGATTACCGTAACAGACCGATGGGACATGTTCTAATGAGATCTCGTCGTATGATGCAACACTCAGACTCGGGTCTTTTAGAGTCAAATTCCAGAACGGAATATACCTTCCTTCATGTTCTAACGTGATATAATCACATTCTAGCATGTAGCACTTCTAGCTACACGCTTCTTACCTTAACAACGGTTGTGATACTTCTATTGACCGCTTCGATTATCTTTCACTTCAATCTTCTGTCTTAAGTCAGATGCTACATCGATCTTGGTACTTTGAACCACGTAACATATTCATCTTAGTCGGACTCGATTTGATATGACTACTAGGGTCGGAATAACAATAATCTTTATAGTCATTACCGAAACAATGGTAACGACAGACATCAACAAAACGGAATCAATTACTAGCTTCTTGGTAACCGTGTGACTTTCCCTGATCCAAGTGCGAGTCATGCGCTTCCAGTAGTATAGGCCTCAACTACCTTTCACACCTACTCATACGCGTCCCAAGTATTGTCTCGCAGTTCTCCAAGTCATTATCACAAAAACAATTTTAACACATACAAATGTGTCCGAACAATCATATAATTTTCCCTAGACTCTACTAGGACTATTTCCATGCGTATCTTCAATCATCAATTATGCTTCAACTCGGTTGGTAATGGAAATGTCAGACGATGGGATAACTTCATGGATTATACCAAAAATCTTTCTTTCTGCTAATCGAAAGTGTACTTCTCCCGTACTAGACGTATTATTTATTAGACGCGTTCTAAAGACAAGATATCACTCTTACAATATCTTCCGACAGGTAGCATTCAATATCATAAGCCTTCTCATTTCCTCCATTTACTCAATTCACTATGAGTCTTCACTATGATGTTCTGCACACCAAAGCAGTCGTTTGGTGTATCGAGACGAGAATAAAGATAGAGGAAGGTTTAGACGCGTATTCATCCTTATTACCTCGAAAAACTATATGTCAGTTCTAATATCGTAATTAAACGTTTAGAAATCTGAACACATAAAATTTCCAGATTCGGTCGGTAACAGACCATAGATCCGATCAAACGATAGAATAAAGCATCACAAATTATTAAGCACATAAAAGCATCTTAGGCATCTTCTCTAATTAAGCTAGTGCTTGTGTCTATCCAGACGTACTTCCTAAAATATATTTGACACACTCCTCACGATTATCGCTTAACATTCTAAGTTTAAGTCTAGAAATAATTTCTTATTCCTAGTTTGCTTAAACTAATGCTCTGATACCAACTGTGACATCCCCATTTTCACGCCCAGAGAAGACCGATTTGTTTATGCTTTATTTTGAAAATTAGAGTAACCTTTTAAAGAAAAGAGTTGCGGAATTTGTTCCCAGAAAAACATGATAAATACATTATCAAAGCATCTCCGAAGAAATGTATTTTATTCATTTTAAAACATTGGGATGTCATCATCAATACAGAAACATAAGCATAAACAGAACTTACATTCATTATCACTAGTGATTTATGTCTCCTTAATCTCTCAGTGTAATGTAACTTCATATCAACACCTGTGATACAAATAAATTGAGTGGGTCAGGTTGGGAAACCTTGTGAGTATATAGGGTTTTCAACCCACAATAATATAATAATTATGTTTAATCATCAAACAATTAACCCAATTACTCATCCCCATTATCTTCGTTATTCGTAAGAGTCTACCCTAAGAATCATCTATCCTACATTCGTTCATTCCGAAGTCCATCGCTTCCAGGGTTCATATGACAGACACTAAGTCCATAGCTGCCAATGCTCGTTCGTAAAGCAGTAAATGCATTGCTGCTAATCTTCATTTATCGGGCACTAAGTCCATAGCTACCAGCGTTTATCTAACAGGTACTAAGTCCATAGCTACCAACATTTCTTTAATAGGTACTAATTCC